CTTCCTATCAGCTCATTTAGGGCAGTGATTTAATATTTAGGCTAGATTCTCATTTCCTTTCTTTCATTATAAGCTTTCTTTTATATTTTCTAACATAATAAGTACTCAACGTTGGACAAGTGAATCAGTGAATTTGAGGCCATCCAGTTACAGGAATCTTTAGATCTGCTTCTGCTACAATATACAAAAGAATTCCAGTAAATATCTGAGATAAATTGAAAGGAAAAGTATAGAATAAAAAAGATCGGGATCTTGTTTTTGAAAATAAACCTGGTCTATTAGAAAGGTCCTTTGTGCATTTTTTTTTTTTTTCTTTTTCCTTGTAGAAGTAGGATTTATTTTATTCTAGGATATCTATATGCCTATGTGAAATAGATTTATAAAAATTAAGAAGAAAGGTATAAACTTTAAAATGTATACTGAGTTTGTGACTAGCTAACAGAAAGGAATGAAACGTACACCTAGGCTCTGTAAAGGACGTGATAATCTGAAGTTCCAATTCGTTAAATAAATTTGAAAACTGATTACAAAGGGTGAGGCCTGTGCTTTATTCATCTTTATACCCCAGTATTTATTTAGTATGATGGATACTGAGTAGAGTAGGTGTATTGAATTTACATAATATATCTGAGAAAGAAATCAATCATAGGTGGTGATACTTAGAAAGGGGATAAAGTTAGGAAGGCAGGGCTAATGAGAAAGAACTGAATTAGAAGTGATTAAAATAAGGGCAGAATTCCAGCAACTTAATGTTTTTGATACAGGAAAATACTACCATGAACTTATGGAGCAAATAGTGTTAATAACAAGTTAGATTCTCATTTCCCAATTAATAGTTTTTTTAAAATTTAATCTTCATTTCATGATAATTTTAATTTATTATCATAGACAAATACCAGTTGAAAGTTTAGCTTATGACACTACACTAGAGTTTACGTGAGCATTTGTGAAGGCTAGCTTATGCAGCCCTGGTCTCCAGCAACAACCTAGACAAAGCAGACAAGACAGGCAGCCAGAGACAGAGACAGAGATAACAAATTAGCTACGTATGTGAAAATATGGGAGTTAGGTTTGTAAAAATGTGAATCGGGAAATGATAATTTTATAATCACATTTTTTTGTTGTAAAAGTTAAATTCAGAAATGTAGGTTAAGAATCAATGGGTATAATTTGGTGGGGTTGAGGAATAGTATTTTCAGTAATAGAGAAAAAATATTGAGCCCAATAAGGAAATTTCATGTTTGCAGGATGACAGAGGACTTCGCCTGTCAAGAATGATGGTATCATGGTAGCAGGAGTAAAATTAGGATATAAGATTTGAGAATTAGGAAGGGAAGAGATTGCTGATAAACTCCATAAAGCCTAAGAATAGGATTTATTACTGTGTTTTGATCTGAATTCTTTAGAAGCCACTGAAGCCTCAATTCTGAGGATTGACTTAATGAGTAAAGGATGTGTGATGGTCAAAACATAGTAATTTAAATGATTGATGTTTGGTAAAGATAAAAGGGAAAGTGATTTCTACTGACTGGCAGTAAGCAGAACAGCTTAATGAGGAACTTGCTGAGTTTACTACTGTAGTAACAGTATGGGAGAAAAAAATCAACAGTCAAATAACGATAAATAACAATGCCCTGGGTGCTTACAGTGAGTATAAAAAATATGCTGTCCTTTACCCAGGGACCTTACCATGGAAAAAGAGTGAAGTCTGAAATCAGCGATTTTGATTTGTTAATTTCTGGGTTAGAAAAGATACTGGGGTATTTGCAAGTTACTCTGAGGTAGTTGGGCTTGAGTGCAGAACAGTTTGATTACTAATGATGGTTTTGAAGGAAGGAGATGGTTTTAGAAGAAAGTTTATATTTATTCTTTCAACCCTTTCAGTTTACTTTCATCCTTAGAGACATCTTATTTGAGTCATGGTAACAGTAACATTTTTATCCTTCCTGTGTGTGGTCTTATTTGATAACAATCTTTTTTCTCTAGCTTAGGGTGTCAGTGAGGAAAAGACTGTGCCTATACTTTATTAATTTACAACCTTTATAGTCTGATTAATCTTACACCTTCTTCAGACATGTTTATATAATGTTTAAGAGATGTTGACAAAGAGTTGAAGAAAGTGCTTTATTGTAAGAAGTTGTGATCTTTTCTCTAAATGTAATACTGTTTTTTGCAGAGCATTTTGCTGCTTTGGGAACAGTTTGAAGATACCGGTCATCGCAGCTACCATTCACATCACAACTTAGCAGGGATCTTTCTGATCCTCCTAAGAATTTGCCTGGCATTGTCGTTAGGCTGTGGCCTCTACCAGATCATCACCGTGGAGAGGAGCACTCTAAAAAGGGAGTTCTACATCACGTTTGCCAAAGTATGGGCTTGGGGGCGGAAACGGCTGCTTCAGATTGTCACCTTCATGCTAATGAACCACCACGTGCTAGCATTCACTGTTAAACTTTTATCATGTTCCAGGCCCTTTATATGCTTCGCTCCATTTCATCTTCACAACTTGTGAGGTGCAGGTATTGTTATCCCCAATATACAGAATGTGTGGAGCATTGTTTTCCCTATAACATTTAGCAGGTTAATTTTGCCTGGATCACAATTTTTTTTAATCAAAAGGAATTTTACATTTTTCTGTCATATCAGAATAAAAAAGAAATTAATAAATTAGGAGATGGTTTGCATTTCTCACTAGTTATTGACTATGAACTGTTTCTCTCAAAGTTATGTAGTGTTTTATAAGAAACTGTGAGGAGCTGTCCTTCATCCTAACCAGATGGAGCCAGAAAGCTGAGTGCATATTACATTTCAGCCATTCCACTCCATCCGTACAAGATCATGTTCACTTTATTTCTCCTTTGTCCTTATGTTACAGAGATCTCAAAGCAAATTTGACTCTTCTACCCAATCAGGAAAGTCCTACGCTCATTTAATAAAGGGGAAAAAAAAGAGCAGGAGAGGGGTTGGTACAGTGACATTACAGAATCCCCCCTTCCCTAGAATATTATTTTCTTCTGTCAGATTGAAAGGATCCTCATCTCTTCTCATCTTGGCAGTTCAAACCAGCATTCTGATAAGCTATGTGGTCAGTTCACGCAGTCCCCAGGGTCTCTCCTGGCCAGTCCAAGGCAGCTAGGGTAGGAAGGCCAAATTTTTTCTTCATTCCTAGTGTTGAGCATTTCCCAGCTGCCTCTGCAGCCCTATCTAGGAACCACCTTCAGGCTTCTCCTGAATACCAAACAGGCATGAAAATGCCACTCTTTTGAGTCTTTCACAGGGACAGGAGTGTTTATTGTTTTCCATTAAGTTTCCTTTTTTGTTTCATATTTAAAATAATGCCAAACTTTTTCCTTAAACTTAAAAAAAAATTTTATGTCTTAATTTTATTTTTGAATAGGTTCAAGCATCCAAAGAGTAACAAAAAGTGTTCCTCAGTGTTTCTCCCCTCTCCCATCTGTTCTGTTACCATTACCTCCGCACATAGTTGCTGCTGTTGGTTCCTAATTTTTCCTTCCAGAGAATTTTTAACATATATGCCTATGTATTTTCCCCTCTCTTTTTATACACATAGCAGCATAGTAAACACATCTTCCTGCATCCTGTTTTTTTCATTTCCTATACCTTTAACATACCAGACATCTCAAAAACTACCATTTATTAATTTATGATTTTATTTCAAGTGTGATTTTGGTAAAGGGAATTGCCAGGGTTCAGAATCTCCCATTCTTATCAGCCCAGTTCCACCCTCCTCTGCCCTACCTTTCAAACAGGATCCACTATTGTTGAGTTTTTAAGTCAATCAGCACCTCCTAAATATGCTAGTCATGTTTTTATCTGGTACATTGTGAAAATCCATCTGTCTATATCTTACTTAATAACTTATTATTCGTTTGTTTCAGGGCTGTATCTTGTGGTTTTTATGCCATCCAGTCCTTGCATGCATTTCTGTCATTTTTAGTGACTACCAAAGAGATAAGGTAAGTAACATACATGATCAAAATAGTTCTTTAAATGAAAATGTAGTCTTTAGTGGAAATTATTAAAGTATAAAGGGCCTATTTATCTGTCCACTGGTTTCTTGAGTCCTGAAGATAAAACTTTGAAACAAAACATTGAACCAGTAAGTATATAGAGACTTAAAATGCAAAGTTTAAAAAATTTAGTATATAACAAAATGGTAGAAAATAACTTCTGTCATTCTTACTTTAGCCTGTTCCAGAATACTGTTGGATAAATTAGAGAATCCATAATACATCTTTGTTAAGAAAATAATGAAGAATTTTTGCTAAATAATGGTAAAAATCAAGATAGATTTATAAAAATCATATGAGCTGCTTTAACAAGCTGCAGACTAAAGTGCCATGCCCAAGTGTGCCTTGTTTTGATTACGTTGATACTACCTTCTTAAGAGAATTCCTCCATTATTTCAAAATGCAGTTCTGCCCAGAATTCTTTACAAGCAGTATAGTATGACTTGAGTGCACAAAAGTTCGTTGAGCCTGAGGTATTTTACAAAGGTAAATAAGTAGGAATAGTCTATAAAAATAGAGACATGACTTGAGAATTTTTGAAAGGGATTTTAGAGTATTCTTCAAGGTTCCGGTGGGGTATGCTTTGTTCCTATTACTGTATTAACCAGGAACCCGATTTTCTTCGTGCTTACGCAAACTCCTTCCTGTAGCATGCTCACCCTTAGAAGAGAATGGGTTAGCAGATGATCCTTTTGTGTCATACTTTGCCATCTATAAACTAACTGTCCAAGGAATTTTACCCTTGAACAATTACAGTTCTGAATATTAGTCATTTTTCTTTTGAAAATGTCTTTGATAAAATGTACCCCTGGTAAAGATGAAGGGTAAAGTAGTGTATTTGTATAAGAAATACATATAGGTTCATGATAAATTGAATATAATTTCTGTGTTTCTGCAAGCAGTAAAAGCATTCTTTTCTTTTCAGGTTATCACAATAGGTGTTATCCTTTGCCAGTCTGTTTCCATGGTTATTCTCTACAGACTGTTTCTGTCCCACAGTCTATACTGGGAAGTTTCTTCACTTTCCTCGGTAACACTACCACTAACCATATCATCTGGACACAAAAGTCGGCCTCATTTCTGATACTTGATTGTGTTCAAAGGAAAAGTGAATTGGTTTAGCAGAGTGCAATAAGGATCCAAATGCAGTGACTTTTTTTTTGTTTTCATACATTTGGTATGAAAAATAGAGCAGAAAAAGCAGAGCATGTTATTTATATGACTGCATTTAAGCAGTATCAAAAATAAAGATAATAAATGAAATGTTTTGAAATAAACAATAAACTTTCAAGAAAGATTCTTATAAGGTGACTTAAGCAATTTCCATGTGGAAATAAAGGTAAAAAGAGTTATATACTATTTTGGTAAAATATTCACCACTTGTAATGCCGCATCGTATGTAAGTATAGCTAACTCAGTTTGGTAGTCTTATAAAAAGTAATCAGTTAAATGATTACTTGCTTATATATATCTAAACTTGGTTAGGAAATCAGTATACATAATACACTGATTAAAAACTGCTTTTTTATGTTTTATGGAAAATGCATTTCATATTGGAGTTCAAAGGAATTGCAAGTGAAATCAGTTCAGGAAATGAATATAAAATGTTCACAGTTAATGAGTAACCTTTTATTTGTGGGTGGGGTTATTCTCCATTTTTTTTCTCTCATTTTTGGCTCTAGTTGACGTTTTTGGCTTGATTAGCAAAGGGTTTATGACAGTTTATGCAAAATAAAACAGATACATTACTTGAGTTGTAAGAATGAACGGTTTTAAAATGTGAACACTTAGGGGAAGGGACAAGCAGGCTTACATGTTTTAAAAAAAAGAAAAAGTACTATATGGTATGATACTAAAATTTTAATCCTTATATAATTAATTTCCTTTATATTGGCTCCCCAATCATAATTAAGCCATATGCACAGATTAAATTAACAGAAGCATTTCACATAAATGTTGGTTTCAGTCATCAACTACCGATGAATTCCTGCCCAAGGATACTTAATCAGGATTAAATTTTCTATGAATAATTGAAAAACAAAATACTCACTGGATTTGTTATAATCCGTGTTGGCACTGGATTCTGAGTAGTTGCCATCTTGAATCCCTTGTAATAAAGCCATATATGGTGGTTTTGTTTTTTTTTTTCTGTGATGCCCCTGTATTGGAGTGTGCTAGCTAAAGAATAGTTGATCAAATGCCTGTTTAAAAATACTGAATGGTTTCAATACCTGTTGTATAAAATGAATATTCCCATTAATAGTCACTGATTGTAAATTATTCAGTTTTTGTTTGCCAAGTTTGTTCAGGCCTTTCAATTTTTACCTCTGGCTTACTTAAAAAAAAAAAAAATTCTGTCTACTTCCAAAGATATTGCATTTTGAAGCAAGAAATGGTGCACTGATGGGGTAGACTTTTTAATTAAATATTTAAAACAGTGTAGCACAACTTAAAAATATTTATGGCTTTGTCTTTGTGTTTTTCCTTGCACCTAGTCTCATTTAAATGAGTACTGTTCTGCTTCATTTTACTGGCAAACATAGTGTTTGTGACTAACAGAAGAGCAGTGACAGCGTCCAGCCTACTCAGTAAGTCAACTCTCCATAACAGTTCTTTGTGAATCATTTGATAAGTGAGCACTGCAGGTTGAGACTAGAAAGTTTGAGGTATATTTTAGGTTTACATGATCTCCTTAGTGGTCATAAAGTTTTTCTTTTACCACATCTCACTAATAATCCCAGTTATTATCGGTTGTGTTCGACTGAGGGGCAGTTAATTAAGACGAGAAAAAGAGTAAAGGTTTTTCATGTATTTTGTGAATTTGCACCAATGGGAGGTGAATAATCTTTGTGTTGCCTTACACAAAGCGCATAGTAACTCTGTAATCAACATATCTAAGATGTATTTCTATGCTAGGATTTATAAGTTTTAACAGATTTTTTCTTTTTTAAGATTTTATTTATTTTTATTGTACTTCAGGTGAAGGCTTACAGAACAAATAGTTTTTCATGAAACAGTAGTACACATATTGTTTTATGACATTGGTTAACAACCCCACAACATGTCAACCCTCTCCCTTCT